TAAAACATGCAGTTAGGGTCAGAGTGTTAACTCACTTTGCATATTAAGTTTACAAGTCAACATGTATCACTTTACAACTGGACATGTGGGACTGTTAAGAGCTACAGGACTCTTAGCTTTCCACAGGTACCACACATGTATAGTCAGTCTTGGCCCTTGATATGTATTCTTAACTGACAAAGCAGCTCATGCAAAGTCACAGCAGCAAGTCTAGACATTGTCAAGGCCCACCAATCACTGAGGGCTTGTGTAATTGCTCACAGCAGTTATCTCTTTTATAATGTGGGCATTAATGCTCACATCAAGCCTGCTGTTTCTCCGGGCTTAAAGCAAAGGACTGTGAAATGCAATGCTAGTAGCTGTCAGTCAAATTAAAAACATAATAGGTTGAGCTTAGATCAACTCCAGAGGAGCAACAAAGACTTCCAGTTGAGCAACATTCTACGACAGTGGTTTTCAAACTTTCTGTGCCCAATGCACACCAAAGGGCAAGCCACAATCTCTACGCACACTTGTATTCATGTCCATGGAAAATAGCCTCTATTACACGTCATCAGCCTTGTCACTCTACAAACATTTATTTCTATTTACTTAAGACAAATAAAATGAATAAGTGAGAGAGGAGAGGTGGATCTGGTATGGGAGGGAAACAACAAGATGTAATCACTCCTTACAGACCAAGCTAAGAAGAGAGATGCACTGGGAATAAAAATTTATTTGCCTATAAACATTAAATACATATCAGCAGGGAAGAATATGCACTGAGTTGGAATAAAAAAATAACTTTAGTCTAAAATTGTAAAGAGAAGAGATGCACTGAGAATGAAAACTGGTTGATATTGAGTAGAAAAAAATACATTTTAAATGTAAAGTTAAATTAGAATCAGCATTAAAACATTTGCTATTGTAAATATAGTTTCCTACTTACAAACTAATGAGACATGCACCTATTTGGACTCACTGATTTTTTTTTACATCCTTGATGGTAGTGAAGACAGTGCATTTGCAGCATCTGGACTTAGCACGACACCTGTAATGTTTTTTGGAAGTGAGGAGGATGAGTGTCACACAATCAATCCCACAAACATTCTTGCTGCCTCTGGTGCAGAGCTCATGTTCTTAGGCCACGTTTCTCTCAATGAAGAAGGGATGTTTAGTGTCCAAGTGCCTCTTCAGCTTGCTTGGCACCACATTAGCATGAGTTAACTTCTCCCTACAGGTGGCACACTCAGACTTATCGAAACTGCCTTTGTCTATCAACTAGACATTTCAGGACTACAATAAGCCTAAACAACAACAAAATACTGATCCAAGGCTTCATAACTAATAGGAAATGATCTGCATTAAGCTGACAAAGAGAGGACATACTGTGCTGTAGAGTGAGAATAAAAAGGTAAACGCTAATAAGATGGAGCATAAAGGGGTAAAAACAGCAGGTGATAAAGAGAGGGAAGTTGCCCTTTAAACAGGAGCTTATGTACCCATGTCCCCAGGGTAAGGAGTTCCCACAAAGCCACATACCGGACACAGTTATCACTACATCAAACACGTTCAACCGCATCACTGTCTCTTACACCCGCCCAGTCTCCCTTTCAAAAACACACAGATACAGATCAGACACACACCAGAAGGCTACAACAAAGTTTGTGTTTTACTCTTTCTTATCTGTCCCTCTCACACACTTTCTATATTTTATACACAGAAAACACACAGACAATATTTCACTCACACCCAAACCACATGTCCGATTTCAATAAAAGAATGCCAAAAGGAATTTTCTGACACCAGTCAACTGACCAAGCAACTGCACATGTGGGCAAATGTGATCAACCAAAGCTGAAGATAACAAAACCAAGTGAAAACAGTGGCATCTCACTTAGGAAACAAAATGACTAGAGTGTGCAGCATTCATCAAGTTCACTTGTCAGAATCATTGCATGTTGATTTTTCTATCAGGGTACATGAAAACTGAGCATCTGACACGCTGCCCTCTGCCTTCCCTCCGGGTTTCTGTGACACTCCTACGTGGGGAGAACACCTGCGGCTGCCTGATCATTTCTGAAATGCACAGCAAAAATCACTGTGACAACCTCACTTCATGGCTGCCAAAGATGTGACCTCTATTCTATTCTCAAAACCTGCTGAAGGCCATGTTTGTTTCTGCACCCTTGTTTTGTTATCTGTACTCAAAGTTTAAAGATAAGGAGAAAGAGGCCATACATAACTTACGTGTAATCTTTCACAAAAACAAACAAAAGTGCACATCTAGTCCCACATTTCCTACACAAGTATAAGTTTAAACACAACTAATATAGCGCAATCCTGTTGCACTTTTTCAGCCCTTACTACATTTATGTATTACGATAATCCCCTGGAACCAAACGACTGCTGGAAAATTAGACGTGGAGGCAAAAGAAGAGCCTTGAGAGGAAATCTGAAACTGTCGGAAACCTGTAGATAAAAAAGTGAATAAAAAGTGGTGACTGGTGGGAGCAGGCGCATGGCAGAGTTTCAAACAGAGATAGAGAGAGGAAAGGAGAGATGGAGTGAGGGGGCCCAGCTAGTAGAAGGGTTGGGAAAAATGTGTGTGTGAAAGCGAACAACAGAGAGATAAAGTGAGGGAGGTGGCACAGACAAAAAGAGGGCTGGGGGATTTTGCCTGATTAAATATGTGCCAAAGTTTGTGTGAATGAAAGCAGCAGCTATAGCTACATTTTTGCCAAAACAAAAGCAGCTACAGTTGTATGAGGAGATGAGAGGAGGGAAGGGGGGAGGAAAAGAGAGAAGAGGAGGAATGCTTTTAGCAACTGGAAAAGGAGACATGAGGTGATTACATTAGCATAGGAATAATTTCTGTTCATGTGTCCAGTGTCAAAGTGAAACTGGGTGCAACGTGCCAAGGGGGAGCAGGTAAAGAAAGGAAGGTGTTGTTACAAACCTGTCACGTTGCACTTCAACTAAAGGTCTGGACAAACTATTTTAAGCCGAGTTCAAGTGATTAATCGACTGGTTGATGGACAAAACATTGTTATCGAATTGTTTTGGATTTCGGGGCAAAAATGCTACACATTCAATAAGGACACTTTAGTTTTGGACTGTTGGTTGGGTAAAACAAGCAAGAACAGCTTTTTGTCAAGTAGCTTTTCATGCACAAGAAACGAATCTTGGTGCATATAAACAAAGTAAGAGAAAAATGAATACTACATAAGTCAAAATGCACAAAGAAAAAGCAGAAGTAGACATTTACAGTAAAAATGTACAAATATATGTATTTTTAGGTGAAAATTTTAATTGAAAAAAGCAGTAAATTCAGGTAGCACTAGTGTATTGTCAGTATACATGTCTGTGTTTCAGGTTTTTAACAAGGTTCCTTCATCAGCTGCCAGCTAGTTTGCATATTATCGGTAACAGAGAAAGATGGAAAAATGGCTTAATTTAGCTGAATAAGTAATGGAATATCCTTTAGTCCTATTGCGTAAGTCAAATCTAAACCAAACTCAAATCAATACCCACCTGTCATAACAACCTTCGCATGTATGATTAATGTAATAATTTTTTCAAATTCTGCAATAGTCCAACAGAGATTTACAGAGGCAATGGAGGCTCAGTGATGTGAGGACAGAGCAGGTAGCATAAGATCTGAGAGCTGCTGTCCAAAATTCAAATGACCCTATGTCAATTTGCAACTATTCTGAAGATCACGTGTCTAGATGTGAACTCTACAACTCAGCAGTTAATAACAAAGACCATATGTTCAGTGAGGTCTGTCTAACAGCAATGACTTCTGTCATACGGTCATATCAGGATACATTACTGTAAGTGGTAGATGTATACTTTCAAGGGGTGGACTGTCTGTGCTGCCTCTGCACTGAACCAGGAGGCGGCCAGGCTCAGTCTGTGATTATTGTGTGTCACAATTAATTACAATGTTCAGGACAAGCACTTTGCAACATCAACAACTGGTGAAGAGAGATCGCTACAAATGGAACTTGCAGATGTTAAGATCATCCTGAAAAACGTCATTTATCCAAATTCAGCAGTCAGATGAGAGCTCTGTGAACTGAACAGTGGCTGACTACTCCTTCCACTGCACGAGTTCACTCAGCACATGTTGCCTCCCCGTGCGTCTTCCGTCACAGCAGCATTTTGAAATCCGATGAAAAATATCAAATGCTGGTCACATGAGTCAAACACACAATGATTGTTCTCTTCCCATTAGGCTGAAAACACAACAAGGACTTTTGTCCAATCCAGGTCGAGCATGGAAGAGAGGGGTGTAGGTAGCACACACAGAGTACTGTTCACTGAGAGAGAGAGGGGGAGAGAGTATGCATTATCTAACCCCCCTTTTTGTGCTCTATGATTTTCCTTGGCCAGCATAGCCATCCCATACCAAAGGATTCCTCTAATCCAGGTGAGAGAATGGCTTCTTAATCAGACAGTGATGAATCAGCATCATATGTTACTAAAGTGGCTTAACAGTCCTTGAGCTCATATCAAAAACTGAGCCCCTTTCTTTCCTGCAAATAGTGTTTAAACTTTAATGGCTGATGGGAGTGCTCAGACATCAGCCAAGTGTTGATTTCTGTAGTTTAGCATCTGTCAGCCTTTTTTAGGAGAGAAAGCATCATGTTAATGTTTGGAGTCCACATCTACTGCCGTGAGTGGGTCAATCAGACACATTGCTTTGATATAAAATATCTATACAGGAGTTGAGGAGGGGATGGTTGGCATTAGCCTATACATAATTTAGGGATACCATATATAATAAGACAATATCGAATGTACTTTTGCTACTGATGATTTAATTTGTTTTAACATACATACAGTGCATATTGCTTTAAGCAAAGACCCCATGAAGTGACTCCTCATGCACTATTCACTAGCTCTGAAGTCAAACGCAGTTAAAATATGTTATTTTTAGGCTACAGCATATACAACAACACAGTGATGCCTGCATGTGCAAGCATCGTGAAGTACAGCTATTGGCTAGCTAGCGGCTCAGCTGACTTTAAAAAACGCCATGCAGACGGTGGAAGACAAAGTACAGTCACCATACAGGGTAACACCATAGTGACTGAGACGGTTCACACCACCACAAAACAAAATCCCCGTCCTGGCCTTTAGGTATGCACTTGACTTAAGTGTTTTACACAGCATAATTGTTTTTCAAAATAACAAGCTGCCATAGGAAAGGACAAATAACCCATTTCGCAGCGTTTAAACAGGCTGGACAAAAAAAACAACAATAATATCTCAGCGTTTGAGCGACACCATAATAAATATATATAAAGAAACAGGTTACTATTTGGGCTGTAATTGAAAATAGCAGTACTCATCACTTACCCAAAATGAAACCGTAGCTCGTCGGCCTAGCGTTGTAATTACTCAGAAACAACCAAACAAATAAAACAAGCCACTCAGTTCAGATAACAAGCTAACTCAGTATAATTTTCCTATCGCTATTTAAGGCGTTATTAAACTAGATTTATAGCAGCTTTACGCATAAAAACATTATTTTACGCCCACTGAAAATATAAGTACATTTACAAAAGGCTTTAGACGAGATTTCGTGGGCGCCTTTGTTTTTCTCGTTACATTTAATTCGCCTGTCGTGGTGTGTCGGTTTGAAAATCCCCAGCGGAGTCGTCGAGCCTCGGTCTGTGTGAGAGACTGTAGCTACGTGTTCCACTTCAGACAATGCTGGTCGTTCGTTTACAGAATTTCCACTCGCTCCTCGGTTTATCGGCTCTAAGTTGTGCGAATGTACATTCATGTGCACCCGAATAATATCGGCAACTTATATACATAATTTACAACGGCCTTCAGCAGGTTCTAGTGTATACTGAGCGCTCGTTCTCACTTGCCTCAGAGATCTGTATCACCCTGAACAAACCCGACAGTTCTCTCACTCCGCCACAAGGGGGCAGCGCTGCTACGTGTTCACGTCAATGGTTTGTTATGTGACTTTGATGCTGCATTCAAATGCTCCTCGTAAGCATTAGTCTCGCCAACAGTCGCTAGACCTAAGCGAGTATAAGGCAAAAGTACCTGTAAAGGACATTGAAACACTTTTTTATGGTTACCGTGGTTTTATTTTATGTATCTGGCAAAAAGATCTGTACAAAAATAATCTTTTAAAAATACACAATTACAAGTAAAAGTTCAGCATTTGAATTTTTAATTATTAAAAAGATATTTTTAAAATATCAAAAGCAAAACTAAGTGCTGAAAATTATTACTGTAAGTGATATACTATTAAATAGTAGGCCTGTTAGATTATTATTATTACTACTGCATTAATGTGAACGCCGCATATTTGGGCGACAACTGCTCATTTTAACCCTTTAGGCTACTGTAGTTAATTAGCCTATCCAATAATACATATTGTATGAGCTAAGTGTGACTTGAAGGCAGTTAATGCAAAAGAGAAACTATAAAAGTAAGCCTGAATAATTAATTAAGATAATGAAGTCCAATTTAGCAATTAACTACATAATTATTCTCTTTTAAAATGGTGGTCATGGTCTGTGCTTCTCTCTTTAAACATCCCATCTAATGATCACGAACACTAAACTCATAAACGGGAAAATCCAAATCACAATTTTGTTCTAATACTTGAACTTCCCATAACGCATTTTAAATGGAACGAAGATATTTAGCGTGTTTGTCATTATTACGTTACCGCCTATGAGTGAATTCAATTAAACCAGAAATCTTCTCCATGCATTAGGATGTTCGCAGCTTTTATCACCACCACGATATACACTTAGTGAACCAAATGCCTTGAGCAGAATGAATTAACTCCGCTGAGACTCTGACTTTTGTCGCCCTCTGGTGAATTTCTTCAAGTAGACTATGCCAGTTGACTAGATCTCCAAGTACACATGCAAATGGCACCACAAAAATATTCAGCCAGTTTTTATTCATCAGCAGTCACAATATAAACACAGACTGTGAGACTGTTTCAGAGTAACACAATCCAAACCAAGAATGCTAAAACAAGTTTCTAACCATAAAAAATCAGTCTTTATCTGTGCGTTAAACATCTCCTACATATTCGGCTTGCAAAATGCAGGTGGTTACATTCAGCATTTAAAAAAACAACATACAAAACCAAACTTTAGGTTGAATCTTCAAACAGAACACTCAGTACAAAGATGCTTGCAGGCCTGAGACAACATTAAAACCACACAATTATTCTGCTGTGTATTTTTAATAAAGTATTAAAATAAATAGCATCACTACAAGAAAATGACTTATGAAAACAAATGACCAAACCAACTGGAGGAACTCCATAAACATGTGGCAAGCAATAACTGCTGTACATCAAGTTCTAAGGAAACAATGTCAGCTGAAACATCACTGAAATGTATACGACAGGATGAAAATACAGTGGGTACGGAAAGTATTCAGACCCCCTTAAATTTTTCACTCTTTGTTATATTGCAGCCATATGCTAAAATCATTTAAGTTCATTTTTTTCCTCATTAATGTACACACAGCACCCCATATTGACAGAAAAACACAGAATTTTTGACATTATTGCAGATTTATTAAAAAAGAAAAACTGAAATATCACATGGTCATAAGTATTCAGACCCTTTGCTGTGACACCCATATATTTAACTTGGGTGCTGTCCATTTCTTCTGATCATCCCTCAGATGGTTCTACACCTTCATTTGAGTC